TATTGAAATTATGCATAATGTGTAATGGTTTCTAAGGAAGCTTAATGTATTTGCATCCTGAAACTTCCTTGGTAAAGGTATTGCACTGCCTAGTTACAAGCTTGATCTTAACCTTGCCGAATAGCAGTGTGTGTGTAAACCCTTGTCCAGAGTTTGCAACTTCAGGAGTGATAGGGGACATTGCTAGCAATCTCTTTCACGAGACCAGCAGGATTTCTGTGAAGAACTGCATTTACATTTCAGGAACAATGTAATTTTCAATAAATCTTTTTTTTTTCTCTTAAAGAAAATTAGCTTAAACTAATTTGTGATCCCCCCCCCTTACTCCTTTCTGCTGTTAATGCACCTCTCTTTCTCTTCCTTGGAGACTTTTGCCCGTGGTTTTTTCATACACCATTAGTTTTTATTAACATTAGTAGATATAGTTCGGCCTGCAGAGCTTTCAGCTGCTATGAAATCTGCACTAACCAAGGATATTAATCATGATTCTGATTGTCTCTGTCTTTTGGTCTCACTTGAGTGTCACTGCCTTCCAGCCTTTCTCTCTTCCTACTCTTCGTCCTTTAAGAGTTCTAAAGATATCCCTGACTGTCTTTCTCAGTTGTCTCTGTCAGCAATATTTTCTTGGCTGTCATCAGATAGTCCAAAGTACTAATGACAAAACAGTGTTTTTGACTACTGCTGAAGTCAGCTATACCCTCATACAAGATCTGAGCAAATTTGTGCACAACGTCTTTGCAAGCACAAACCGCAATTGTGGTAGGCTCTATTGATGGGATGAATATCCTGGATTTCTCCCGAGTATTGGGTTGTGTGTGAATGTGGCTTACACGGGTCTCTCTGAAATGGGTACCTCTAGGTGTATTCAGACTTCTGATGTGATAGGTCTTCTGGAAGTTGCCATGCCAACACATCTGGGAGTGCTAGATTTGGGAAAACTAGACCAAGTTGTAGTCTCGTTGCCTATAAATTAAGATGCAGTGGATGTAATTCAAATCGGGGGTGAAATGCTCCCGGTTTGGACGGGACGAGGCGATCCGGTAGCGATTGTGGCAGGTGGTTCGGAGAACCGGTAGCGATGGCGGTGCGAGGCTCCGCCCACTCACCTGGTTTTAATCTGGAAGTAATATGTTTTTTACCCTCTGCACATGCGCAGAAGGTTTTGCGCATTGCACAGAGGGTCTGCGTGCGCATGTGATGCGTGCGTGTGCACGAGCGAAGCGACCACGCACACAGGGTGCATGCACTTCCAAACCGGTAAGGAAGGTAAATAGATTTCACCCCGGTTCAAATCCATTTTAACCCTTGTACAGCAGCTATTTCTCAGTCTAAACTAACCAGAAAAGTATTGATGTTATGAAGTGCGCATATATAAGTATGTATTCGTGTGTGTGTTTGTGTATATGTATTCTCAGTTTGAGCAGGGTTCAGATAAAAAGTACTACCTGTACTTTAACTCAGACTTTATATCATCAAAGGTCATTTGGTTCGCCATCTGGTTTCCAGAGTACACAACTTGACTAGCATTGAAAATATTACTAGTTTGCAAGAAATGTCTGCAAGAAAACAACCAAGCTGAGAGAGTGCCAAGGACCCCACAACTGGTTATATTTCTGAATCCATACTGCAAAGCTTGAAGACATTCAGAATCTCTCCTCTCCTTACTGTGCTTTTCTCTGAAGAAAAAACTGCTTTATCTATTGCAAAAGGAAAGCTTCAAAAGGCACCAAAACAATATTAAAGGTTGAATTTAAAATAACTTTAAATCTGCAGTTCCCAAAGTGTGCGCTGTGGCACCCCAGGGTGCCACAGCAAACTCACTTGGATGTCACAGCAAATTTTAAATTTTGCCCCGTGTGAACTACTAGCTTGAGGTAGTACATAGTTTTGGCCTAGGGGTGCTGTGAAAAAAATTCTTGAGACATTCAGGGCACAGGACAATCAAGACATTGTGAGAACCTCTGCTCTATGTGTTTTATTGAAATTATATATTAATAATTTCAATCCATTTTAAAGTATCTCTAAATTAAGGTAGTGGTTTATAGTATTTAGTAGTATTATATATGTGTGCATGCATACAAAATGTACATACTCTCATGCATAAACACACACATACAGAGTTAATCTACATATTTATTTACTTTTGCTGCCAAGGACTTACATCTATATACTGCTCCAATCTAGGGGTAGTGAGTTGGGCTACAGAGGCACTGAAATTGTGCTAAATTTAGATTTGCCATGACTTAGGGCCACTGGACCATGAAATACCCTACCAGGATTTGATAGAAACTGTTTTTATTTATCTTTATTCTAAGATTCTTGAATTACTTTATATCTCTCAGGGTATTGTCTTGGCAGAACCATTGAAAGACAAACAAACAAAATTAAAGTAGTATTAAAATAGCCTATTAAAAGGAGACGCTAAAAGAGGCATCATACAGAAATATATGAGAGATAAATGAATGGTGGATAGCTACTTTTTTTTTTTTGCATGAGTCCATTGTCAAACTTCTCTAGTACCAAAACCCAAATTAGAATATTTTGATTTAATATACAACAAGCTGTTTTAGAAGGAAGATGCTATTCTCCTGCCTTCTTTCATTCTTTTTGCCTGAAATCCATTCTGTTGGCTTAGTATGCCAACTATTTAGATATAACCTGTATTTCTGTTTTGTGTAATGTTTGTAACTTTTTTTTGTACATCACTTGTTTCCCAAGTGTGTCTGTGTACACACATAGACACCCACACTCACAACATTTTTTCTAAAAGAACTGGAATCACGTTGGAGTCCACTTAGTAGTGGTTAACTCAGCTTCTTCTTATTTGGTTTTGTGTTTTACTGTAGATCTATTGTAGTGGACTGATTAAGACACTTTAAATATTTCTTCAGCAATGCAAACAACATCAAAAATACTGTATTAAAGTTTACTAATCCCTTCTGCTTTCACATGACTATTCAGAAGTTTTTGTCATTATTTTCTAGGATATTATCAAAGTAGTAATACCACAGGGCAATCCTGCAATCTAATTCCATTAAGAATTGTTTTCTTAAATATTTCAGTTATTTCCAAAAAGTTAGCTACTTTATTCTTCAGTAGCTGCATTTAAAGAAATAATTTTCTTACCGTGTTTCCCCAAAAATAAGACCCTGACTTACATTTTTTTTGAACCATGAAATAAGCGCTTGGCCTTATTTTCGGGGAGGTATTATTATTTTGGGGTGCATGGAGCAAAGCGGGGCTCCTCTTGTTGTCTTACCTGATTTCCAGCTCTGTCTCCCTAACCCTAACCAGAGGAAATGGTGGGGACCAGCTGCGCATGTAGTTAAATATTTTTGGGGGAGGGCTTATTTTCAGGGGAGGGCTTATTTTCAGGGGAGGGCTTATTTTCAGGGGAGGGCTTATTTTCAGGGAAACACGGTATATATAAATGTGCATGTCCATCCATTTGCCATGTAACTATTGCAGACTAATAAAGGATTAGAATATCAGAAATATGACATAATTCATACAAATGCATTGTATATTTTTACATTACAATACAACCCTATCCCTCAACAGCATCATGTAGATTTGAATAGAAGCAGGGAAAGAATACAAGGCATAGCAAGGGTTGTAGTAATCAGAGAGTAATTTGGGATAGATGTTAGCATCCCTCAAATCCTGATCACATCGCCACAGCAACAAGACAAAAAAACAGATCCGCTGTATAACTCACAAGTGTTTGACCCTCAATAATTTTTATGTAAACCTTCCAGAGTCTGTTCAGTAGTAAGATGGGCAGTGTATAACTTTGATTAACAAAAATAAATAATCTGGATCAGGTCCATGGTGGCCATGAACTCCCACACTGCTTCATTCTTCACACCCAAAAGTTGATGTTGAGATCTCTATTATAAAGCTGGAAAACTCTACCAACACAGTTGTGGCACAGTTCAGACATAAAGCTTGTGATGTTCTGGAAAAGTTGCCTGTTAGGTCTATTACTATTATTTAACTACTTCCCATATTGCTACCAACAGTGGGGGTTTCCCATTTGATTTGTATAGTGCACAAGTTACGCTTCTGTAGCATTTCCCAAACAAAAAAGAGAAGTTAAATAGAATTAGCACGACTGTGATGCTCTTTCTATTTGATTATTATCTAGAGAGAAAAGAATGCAATGATCAGAAAGAAAGGAGAAAATTATGAAACTGGTCCTGTCCAGAGTATCATTCTATTATTGTCCTCCTTTAGAAGATAACATAGAGGACTAGCTCTATTCCATTATCATAACAATAGAACTGGTTTCACTGCCCAAGGATTGCTTTTGCAAATATAGATGTTGCATAAATCAATATGTTGCTGTATTTATTAAACATACAAGCTCTTGTTGCATATGTTTTGGTGCCTTATCCAAACACAAACAGTACCTAGCTAAACCAGTTGGGATACAATTCCCAGAATATCTAGCAAGCAGAGCCATGCCAAAGAATGAGAATGGAGAAGTCTGTTCTAATCCATTTCAGTGAGCTCTTGCACTAGACCTAAGGTGTACTACGTATATGGGGATTTTCATTAAAATGCAACAGAAGATCATACAATGCATATATGAGAATGACATGTGATAACTTGCAACATAATGATTGAGAAGTTGTTTAAATGTTTCTTACTCTACTTGCCTTGTATCATTCAGCACTTTGTTAACAAATTATGAAGATTCTTCCTAAAGCTCATAATAATTAATCACTCTTCTCTCTTTTTCCTGCAAGCAAATAGTATTTTTGTTACTGGCTGAATAAACATGGAGATTCAGGCACTAGTTTGAAAGGTTTTCTTAAAGGTCTTTATTTGGCTGCAGCCTGCATTTTTTTTTTATGATTGCTGTTGTTGTGACACTGCTTAGGGGAGTCTCAAGTTGAGAAGCCCTTTCTGTTCCTCTGCATTCATAAATCTCTTCCTCCCTCGGGTATTTTAATAGATCTTTATGATTCATTCTCATTATTTTTTTCCCCCCTCAGATGCTGATGGACCTCCAGTCAGATGCTTCCTTCTAGACTTCATACCTTCATTTGTTTGGTAGCAGAATACAAAGTAGTCATCGTGGGAGGACAAGAAAAGCTCTGGGCACTGGGTTTTGGACTGGACTGCAAGTCAGCGTGATATCTTCTGCTTTTCAATAGTTGGGCAACCATGGAGAATCTGTCCCAGGACATACTGCTGGAGTGTCAGATTTGTTTCAATTACTACAGCCCACGGAGGAGACCCAAGTTACTGGACTGTAAGCATACTTGTTGCTCTGTTTGCCTTCAGCAGATGAGGACCAGCCAGAAGGACTTGAGGTGTCCATGGTGCCGAGGTATCACTAAACTCCCACCTGGGCTCTCTGTCTCCCAGTTGCCAGATGATCCGGACGTCGTTGCCGTGATTGCTATACCCCACACTTCAGAGCACACTCCAGTCTTCATCAAACTTCCTAGCAATGGGTGTTACATGTTGCCCTTGCCCATTTCCAAAGAGAGGTCTCTATTGCCTGGAGACATTGGCTGTCGTCTCTTGCCAAGCAGCCAACAGAAGTCTCTCACTGTGGTCACAATCCCAGCTGAGCAACAACCACTGCAGGCTGGGATGCCGCAGGTTATAGGAGACGAGGAGCAAGACCAGAGGGGCATTGTGAAAAGCTCCACCTGGTCAGGGGTTTGCACTGTCATCCTGGTGGCCTGTGTCCTAGTTTTTCTTCTCGGTATTGTCCTCCACAATATGTCATGCATCTCCAAACGTTTCACTGTTATCTCCTGCGGCTGAAAGAAGGCTGCAGCAAGCTCCTCTTGTGAGCTAGATTTAGGGGTTTGGGAGGGTGGTATTGATGGTGACGGGAGGCCAGGAGGTGAAATGCTGTCACATGGACTGAATCATTGATGCCAGGCAAGCTGACTGACAGTCCAGAGTCTGCTGTAAAAAGTAGGGCAACAAGATCCGCTGATAGAGTGTGAGGCATACCCGGTGCTTCTCTGCTCAAAGAAGACTGCATGCATACTCACTTAACAAATGATCTGTAATCTATAATGATTTCATCATGTTATGAGATTAAAGATGTCTATTTAGCTGGTTCTACTGTACAGGTCATGATCTTTCCCTTTCTTTTTCTCTGTCTCTTCAGAGTAGTTGATTTACAAATGAAAATTCTGTATGTTCAAGTAGAATTAAACATTGGAATGAAGACAGTCAATCTACCCAGTGTTCTCCAGACATAGCAAAAACGTAATTCTCTCTTTATTTTTCAATAGCAGCAGGGAAAAGTATGAAATGTAATCATTTAGGCCATGAGGACTTTTTTTTGTATCTTTCAAATTGCACATTCATGAAAATGGTTTTAAAAATTTGTCCCACAGGTATAGAAAGGGAACATTTTTTAAAAGTATTGAAAATCTTCTAGATGTAATATATGTGTAAGTTTATGCTCATTCTATTTTCTTCTGTAGTTTAAATGATTTTGTTTGTTTGTTTGTTTGTTAAAAAAAATTGAAATGAGACCATAAGCATAATAGCAATAAAGGAAGCTAGGAAGGATATCTAGAAGTCTGGCCAAAATGATTGTCTCTGTCTTCTTCTGTCAAACGCTACTTGAATATGTAAGTTCTCAACATGGTACTTCACATGCATATAATGGTCATATGATTCAGAAATAGCAGAGATCATGTTATCCAAGAGAGAATATGTTTACCGAAATGACAGAATTAATGGTTTTTATTAAAGTACCTTATCCTCTGGAATGCAAGTTGGAGTTACCTTATCAAAGGAGACATAATATAATAGCTATGTTTGTAGATGCTTATTTATTATTGTGGCTGTGAGATATTGGCGGGCATTATGGCTGTAATCCAAAGTAGATAAAACCTATATTGTGCTGTCCCTTGTAATGAAAGGCTTTTATAATGTGAAAATGTTGCCATTACAAAAGTAGATAAGGGGGGAAAATAAGGGCATAGTAGTCAAATGAATGATAATCCAACTGAAGTTAAAACCATGTAGGTCAAGCTTCCCTATTTAAATGTTCAAATTGACAAGTATTACCAGGATGAATGGTCTTCTACAGATATTGGACAACTTTGTTCATAATCAGGAAAGGGTTTGTATTCATAGCAGTAAGGAAAGAAAGTCTGAAACTAGTGGCTCCTATAAAAAAGTTTGGTGGTTATATTGAGGGAAAGCATGAAAATTGTATTGGTGGCAGTTTAGCTGTTGAATCATGCCATCTGGAACCAATGATTGCTGTTTATCATGTGCTCAAAGAAACTCTACTAACTTGTCCAGTTTTTCAGGAAACATTGTTCATTATCTCAAAATGTTCAAGAAAAGGCATGTTGATTTTAGTGTGATCATTCCAACTGAGGCATAACAGAGGCAAGTTGGGAAGCTGCCAGAGAAAATGGCTAGTTAACTAAGGAACGTAACTTGGAGCTCCAAAAGAGACATGAGGAAGACACCAAGAAATAAAAAACAGAGGTGCTTTTATTCCTTGCCTTAACCTGCATTTTGGTCTATCATATAGTAAGCTTTGAACACATTTCCCATTTTCTTCAGATGAGTATAAGGACTGGACATAGCTATTTCTTCACCAATGATAGAAAGCATTAGGAAGAACTCTGTTTTTCACAGTTTTCATTTCTCCATGATACATTCTTCACTTGATGGGCCCTCTCGTTCTACTTTTAATGGTGCCATGTCTTTATATTCGTATGTAGCACTTGTCCAGTTTGGTGTTTAAGCAGTTTACTTAGAGAAATGTTTTGCCATAAATTAGAAATTGCTTGTTTCTTTCCCCTTTAACTTATGGCTAAACTAGAGGATCTATAAGATTGTGGGATACAACTGCTGTTGGCTCTGCTGCTTCTTGCAAGTGAGTGATAATATATCTGAAGGAGCACAAGTCCTATCATAGCTGCAATACTGCCCCTAGTTAAACAAACACAAAATACATTCAAACAATTCAACATATTCATTAATTATCCCAAGTCAAACATTTATTCTGAATTCCTGAAGAAACAAAATCTCCCTGTTCCCTAAAAGTAGTCATTATGGTAGGAAGAAATTAAAGCAGACTGTTGACTTCTTAGTTTGATTCCTAAAACATAATTATCAACATTATTAACAACAGTATTACATGGGGGGAGAGGGAAAACTCCTTTTGAAATATTTGTATTAGTGATCAGTTCCATATCATTTGACAGCAACAAAGCATTATTGGGTACATGATAGGAACCTGAAGTTTCTATCCTAGCAGGATGATATGCAGTGATATACAGTATGAGTTTATATTCTGTAATAACTATTTTCTTTAGTAGAAATTTGAGAGATGGGCATAAACTAACAAGATCTAAGCAGGGTTATGTTTGGAATTTTGAAAGTATATGGAGATCTTCACAAATAACTAATTATAAAATATAATTATAAAACCCATTTACCATACAGAAAAGGAGTAAATTTGCTTCTAGATCCTAACAGCCCAGCTGACATCTCTAGGACTTCCTAAGTATAGATGTTAGATCTGGAGGAACTTATGACTTGCTAGGAACTATGTTCCGGCCTCTGGTTGAAGGCCATTTTGGCTAAGGCATAAGAATTAAGTTTATAATACTTTATAAAGAATGCCAAGCATTGCATGATTTTGGTGCATTAATAATGAATTGTGGAATACCATGTTCTTCACTCCACAAGGGTCTCCTGGGGGAGTTAATATGGAGGATGCATGTCTTGTAGAACAAGCTACAATTCCTACAATTCCTATTATTCTGAGTCTCACATGCTAATTTGCTTAAAGTTTGATCCCCAACTGGTGGGGCTGTCAGAAAGAGGCTGAGATGTTGAACGTTCTACTCAGGTAGATCTTGATGGCTCATCTGATGTCTGATTTGTGCCAATCCCCTCTCTAATTGGGACTTGGAACCGGCTAAAAGGAAGGTAAGTTCACTTGCTGGCTCTAGTGAAAACTGAATTCATCTTAGTTATGACATTGGGTCAAGGCACAGAATGTCCCCAATTATAATATCCATCTAGCAGTAGAGGTTGTAAAAAAGGGAGTAGGAGGTCATAGCTATTAGGAACGCCCCTTTCTATGTCAGTTGCTGTAGGCTTGATTCATACTAGGATTACTTAGTGGGATCTGCTCAGTATATTGAAAAGGTGATAGATGGTCTTCAGAAGGTAAGTAATTTTTGTTGCCTTGAGTGACCTGGGGATGGAATGAAGTAATCTTGGGTTGAGAGCTGAGGAAATCTGATATAGCTGTGTGAAAGAGGTTTTTATGTATTTCATTAGTCTCCAATTTACTTTAAAGTTGATATGGGTCACTGTTGTTAGTATTTCTCTTTTTGTTGGTAAGAGAAGGCACATCTTCTAGATTAAGATAGAGTCTGAGCTGATTTGTTCAGAGGATTTCTGACTCCTCAGAATGATCTGTTTCCTGCCTGGTCTAAAGATATAAGACAAGTGTGGTAAAGACGAAAAGAATGGGAGATATAGCATGACATTTGCTGTCTTAATTTCATATTTTTATTGATTGGGACAATGCTTTCTTTTTTTGTCCTTGATTTCTAATAGGACTTCATCTTGAGCCTCTCTGAACTGCTTGCCTTTGAATGAGCCTGATATTAGGCTCCATTTGAATTACGTTACAGATTTTGTAGCCATTTGTTGCCTCTTCATGGTGACATTCATCATTGCATCCTTGGCTAAGAACTAGGTCTCACATGCTTAGGGCTGCAAGGCCTCTATTTTCCTGTCATTTAAATATTTTGGAGTATCTTACCTGACTTTATTATAACCTCCTACAGCAGCCAATCTAGGACTACTTGAGATAAAATGCCAATCTAGGACTACTTGAGATAAAATATAGAGTTTTACCTTAGGGAAGAAGAAGTACATGACTGCTGATCCCAGAGAACACCTTTGCTATCCATAGATCTGTTAAAAATATGTGGGAATGGAATATAGTTTGATTACTAAGGTTTTAATAAAATTTCCTGAGAAGATGAAGGAAGTCTGATTTTTGGATGAGCTGACAAGGGACAGCTCCTTGAGGAGGACTGTTTGATTGGTCCTGAAGGAGCAATCTCCAAGTTATATACCCCTAGATGTGGGGACTGCTAAAGATTGAATCTGTGAAAGAAGATCACTTTCACGTTGTTGGACTTAAAAGAGACAGAGTAAGAAGAGTATTTGCTGCTTTTGAAATTTGGTGTTGGAGAAGGTTCACAAGAATATCTGGAACAGCCAAGGAAACAAACAAACCAAAAAAAAAAATGCATCATTGAACAACAGTTCTTGCTTGAAGCACAAAAGACCAGGCTCAAATTATCCTAATTCAGGCACCTTATGCAAAGACTTAACTTTGTGGAAAAGACTATAATGCTGGAAAAGGTGAAAGGAAAGAGAAGAAGAGGACAACCAACAGTAATGTGGATTTTGACTCAAAGTGCCAATGGGTGTACCATTGGAACACCTGAAGGACCAAGTAAGGGATAAATTGACATGGAGCAAATCTATTTGATTACTAAGATGCGACAAAAACTTGATGGCACATAGTCAGTCAGTCGGAAGTTATCTTGCTTCCCAGGAAAGGAACAAGGGAAGACCATGGTATCATGCTGCAGCGGTTGAGGGGGTTAGGAATAGGGGGCACCATTTTGTGGTGGTTCTCCTCCTTCTTCTCCGACCACTCGCAGTTCGTGTTGACAGGGGGGCAGAGGTCGACTTCGAGGCGCCTTGCATGGGGAGTGCTGCAGGGGTCGGTCCTCTCGCCCCTTCTGTTCAACATTTATGTGAAGCCACTGGGTGAGATCATCCATGGTTTTGGGGTGAGAGTCCATCTGTACGCTGATGATTCTCAGCTGTACATCTTCACCCCAGACCACCCCAATGATGGGGGTGATCTTGATGTGATGTCTCGCTGCCTGGAGGCCGTGCGGGTCTGGATGGGGAGAAATAGGCTCAGACTCAACTCCTCCAAGACTGAGTGGCTGTGGTTCCCGGCGTTGCGATATAGTCAGCTGGTACCATCGCTGACTATTGGGGGTGAGTCTTTACCCCCCACAGAGAGGGCTCGCAATCTGGGTGTCCTCCTGGACACACGGCTGTCTTTAGAAGAACATATGACGGCCGTGGCCAGGGGGGCTTTTTATCAAGTTTGCCTGATCCGCCAGTTGCAGCCCTTTCTGGATCGTGATGCCTTACGCACAATCACTCACGCCCTTGTCACCTCCCGACTGGACTACTGCAATGCTCTCTACATGGGGCTCCCCTTGAAAAGCACCCGGAGGCTCCAACTGGTCCAGAATGCGGCCGCGCGGGTGGTTATGGGCGCAACTCGTTGTGCCCACATGACACCCCTCCTGCGCGAGCTGCACTGGCTCCCAGTGGTCTTCCGGGTGCGATTCAAGGTGTTGGTTACCACCTTTAAAGCGCTCCATTGCATTGGACCTGGATATCTTCGAGACCGTCTTCTGCCACCAGTAGGCTCCCACTGGCCAGTCCGCTTCCACAGAGAGGGTCTCCTCAGGGTGCCATCGGCCAAACTATGTCGGCTGGCGACA